CCCATCTCACAGCCGATGTGAAAAACATGGTGAAACTAATGAACGCTGTGCTTGCTGTTATTCCGGCAGGTCTGACAAAGGAACTTCAACCGCTCGACATCAGTGTGAACCGGCCGTTCAAAGTAATGCTACGTTCACGCGTCTGCTGCTTCATTTTTGCTGCTTGTACCAGTTTAGTTCTGACGCTCGGCTGAAGCAGCTTTGCTGCTCTGGCTGTGCGGTGCAAAAGTGTGTCTGACGCGCGTTGGGCGGAGCTACTCTGTCCTTTCTTTGCCTTGCAGCTATATTTGCTGTGATCAGTGGGAATAAAGTAGTTTTAATATGTTTTTAAGTGAGAAGGTCCACCTGAAAACTTAATCATTGCAGTCAGTTCATCCAGATTACAATCCCACCTTCCATTATTATTTCTGTCGGAGCCACTCAGAGCCCAACATACCAGCGGTGCGCTGTCAGTAGGAATTCCATTCAACAGCAGCCTATGGCCGGGTCGCCTCCTAGCGGTTCACCGCGGCAGCTGGTAGGTGTTTTTCATCTAAATAATCTAAAATGCAGGCACCAGGATAATAAAAGCGAACACATTCTGCCGGCAGATTTCTGCATTTTAAGTTAAATTATGCGTCAATAAACTGTTTCAGAGGAGTGATCACAGCGCTCTGTGTCATCAGCGATGTGTCTTTCTCAAGGCCAGCTCCCAGGTTTGATTAATACTTTGTAATAAATACATGAATAAAGCACAATCATACTCAGTTTTGCTCCTGCTCTATTTTTAAATACGCAGTAGAGGTATTTAAACGTAGTAGAGGATATGTCCCTGTATATAAAACCCGTGCCCTATAGTCCGGTGCGCCTTATGTGTGTGTTAAATACAGTAATGGCACAAATAACTGAGACTGCGCCTTTTAGTATGGTGCGCCTTATGGTTGTGAAAATACGGTAAAAAAAACGGTGTTCCCCTTTAAGCCTTCTACACAGACGATGCTTCTGCCGCCTCCTCTTCCACAACAACTTCATCCCTGCTTTCCTCCTGTAAATAAAAAATGTATGATGGAGGAGACTCATCCACCACCTCCGACACAAAACTCTCCTTCTCTTGCATGTACCATTTCTTGACAGTGTCATTGCTAAGTGCTACTTGGTCCCAATGTAATTTCCCATTGGAAACCTACTAGCACTAAGTTGCTAACTGGTTAGCAAAATGCTTCCAACAAACCGGCCACAACCAAAAGGCTTGTGAACCTTCCACCACAACAATCCCACCCCCTTGATAAATGACCAATCACATTCACTTTTTTCACTCTTGTAAAGTCGGCCACCACTCAGGAGAATTTGGAAATGCTACGGTTGGAACAGCCGTTTCCCTAAGACTTTAACAAGAACCTCCACAAATGGACATGCAATGTTTTTTTATAAAAAAAAAACCTAATGCGTCTAACAGACCTAAATGCACAAAACTGAGACAAAAATCTTACTAAATCAGGAAATAAAACAACATGATTGGCTGTAAGGAGAGTGGAGACAGAGGACACGGAGTTTACAGAAGAAAACCTGCTACTGACCAGGTTAGCTCTGAGGAGAATGTTACTATGGTGACTGAAGCAGAGGTTGACTAAACTCTCTTTGTGAAACGGAAAAGTTAGAGGTTCCCTGTTTTCAGGTTGAGAAAACTGAAGAGTTTTCGGTAAACCTGCTTCTTGAAACAGACCCCTGCTCTCGTTCTGTGGCTTCCGCCAAGAATTTGAGGAGTATGTAGGCTCTTGTCTTGGTAGACTTCTCGCTGTGTGCAGGGGCAATGAATATTTTATATTCACGTTTAACCCTTCTCCAGTTCTCTGCCACATTTTCCTCGAAGACCAGTGGCTCTGGGCATCCGTCTGTCATTTTGTGTTTTGTTTACCTCTGTTAGCTGCATTCCAAAAGTCCTCAGCGACTCTGTGAAATCTTGTAGCCAAGGATATCCCACTTCTGACACATGTAGAGTCAACTGATGGGAGATGGTATTGTTTCAATAGTAATGTTTTTTTATTGTCATCTTCTGGGACCACCTGTAAGTATAACAGCTGACATACATCGCTGCCAGTGTGCTCCTCACATGTACAACTAAACTCTTGCAGGGCTGCAGCGACACCTCGCCGCCAAACAATGCAACTGCGATAGTACTGTCTACATCACAGATGCCTTTATTTTTTTAATGAGCACATTTAATTTCTTCAAACTGGGTCAAAAAAGGCCTGTAAGTCCATATTACCAATTCACTATAATAAATTAACTAAACAACTTAAAACTGGCCCTGAAAACAAACTAAATGTCTATGGCCAATTCTAAAAGATCTTTTATTTGGATGAATGATTTACTCTCTCTCACTCAATCCTGTAGTGTGTTTAGTTGTTATATTAATGTTAAACTTCAGTCCTCATCTAAAAAAATCTGGTTCACACCTTTTTTTGTTTTTTTTACGTCAGCACAGTAAACGTTGTTACACAGTTATTCTTCTGCCTCCTTCAGCAATAACAGCACGTGACGTGAAATAAGTATTTTAGTGGATTTGGAGGTGAGGGTATCAGCACTCGAGTCCTGACTCCAGTTTAATAAAGATTTACACTGCACTACACCATGCTGCACTATACTATACAGTAGTATACTATACTATAATGGAGGTCCAGTTTCCTGTGCCTTTTAGTGTTGTATCTGCTTATAAGCAGATACAAATTTGAATCAATTTGTATGATCTGGTTGAACTGTAAAGTGCCTTGAGATGACATGTGTTGTGAATTGGCGCTATATAAATAAACGGAACTGAATTGAATTAAGTCCAATTAATTAGGTCATTAGCAAGACTTTTGAAACCTGAATCCATTTTAAGAAGTAAAGCTGTGTGATATGGTTGAAAATGTACTGTTATGGCCCAAGGCCTTTCCTGAGTCCTTAACATCCCTGTGTAGAGCTTCTAATTGGTGCTGATTGGAAGTGGAGGCAGCTGGCCAGACTGACGTCAGATCCATCTTAAGGAGCACCAATCTTCTTCACCTGGAGGCCCAAACCAAGCTCCACAGCCCAAGCTACGCTCATACCCAAGTCAGATGATCAACCCCGGCTGGTAGCAGCTTAGCTCAGACCGGACCAGCTTGGAGGAGCTCAGCTCCTTCTTTCTCTCTCTCTGCTCTCCTCTCCAGCCTATTATTTTTTTGTTAAATAAATCCCACTTTAAGTTATCCCCATGCGTGGCTTCCCTTCGATTTGTTGTGGTCCATGGGCCAGCCCATAAGAGTGCCATGATAAATTATATGTAACCTATTTAAAATAAGAACCAGGGGAAAAAGCTGAGTTTAAATTGACACCCTAACCTTTTTTTTTAAATGTAACATTTAACCTTTAAAAATAGGTCAGACCTACCACCATCATCTGCTGTCTATGTCAATATATATTTTTTGATAGTGTTTTAATGCCTTAAATTCAACTGTCCTCAGGTCAGGTCTGTTTCTTAACACCCAAATCAAGATCTGTTTAGGAGCAGGCCTGACCTGAGGACAGCTGAGGTGGAACAAATTCTAAAAAAATCAGAGCACCAGGCCTCCAGTACTATAGCAGACATATGCTATAGGAATTATTTCAATATCTCAACATTTGTACCTTTTTTTTTTTTCTTTGGACAGAAGTTATTGCTCCCTTGCTCCCTATCTCCAGGACCTGACTAAACCATTGTCCCTTGCAACAACTTCCATCCAGCTTCAGAAACTACTGGGCAAACCACTTAATTCCCCCCTTAATAATGGATATACATCAGGAATTTTTGAATGTGCTATTTACTGATGTTTTAATTTATAATCAGGTCACTGGCTGTCCGTGTTTATTTAAAATCCTTGAAAACATTCTGTGAGAATCAACTGAAAAAAAGAAACCTAAAAATAATTCATTGAACAGTTTCTGTTGCAAATTTCCGGGTTTTTTTTCTGTCAGCAGAGCATAGATGGAGAAGGCAGGTGATGAAGAGGGAAAATAGCAGCTCACATCTAACTTTTGGGCTTGCCAAGGAAAGAAAAATATGATATGACAGTAATGACAATCTTGGTGTTATTTTTGATCAGGACCTGTCATTTATATCCCATATAAATGAGGTTTCTAGAATTCTAGACTTCTAGAGGTTATAGGGACCCCTTTTTCATCATTCTGCTTCATTCTATCTCTATTCTCCCACTCTGCAGGATCTGTTCAACCTCTAACATTATGCTCTCTCTGGTTTTTCTCATAGTAGCTTCATCTAGTCTGATCCTGTTTGGCTCTGACACCCTCCTGGAGAGACATATCAGTTGTGCTGCTGCCATCAACAATTTTGTTTATAGATGTTGGAGATCGGCCTGTTTTTCAGAGTAGTCCAGAGTAGTCTCTGACTGTGACTGGCTGGATGTGCTTTCTTTATCCTCTGACATAGGAGCTGGGCTGGAGCTCGTCTGCCTGGCTGTGTGGTTCCTGGACAGGGCCGTCTGTGGAGCTGGTTGACAGTTGCCTTTTGTATCTCTGCCTCTTTTTCTATGTCTGCTTCTGTCTCCTTGAACCCCAGTTGGCTACGGCAGATGGCCGCTAACACTGAGCCTGGTTCTGCAGGAGGTTTCTTCCTGTTAAAAGGGAGTTTTTCCTCTCCACAGTCGCTACAAGCATGATTAGTGTGAGGGATTGCCTTGAGTCAATGAGTTGATGCAATCCACAGGTTTGGTGTCAACAACGTGACAAAATGTTCAAGAAAACAAAAAAGCGTTTTTTTCCCACCCAAGTTAGTTTCCCAAGTGTTCCAAGACCCAGGAAATGCCCATGAGGGCAGCCATTCAACATTTTACATTTTATGATTTTACTTAAAAAGAAAAAAAGTAGGTTGATATGTGTTGGATTTCGAAGAAACAGCTGCTCCATCTTCTATTTTCTCCAACTTTCTAATCACCGGTCGGAACCCTTACCCCAGTTCAAATTGTTGCTAACACCTGCTGACCACTAGGGGGCAGATCGGTGGATATAATGATATAAAATCTGTTTTGGTTCGCTCGGCCCACTTATGTCACCTTATTGGTGGTATTTTTATTGCCTAGGTGTCAGACAATGGATTACTTTGAGCGGACTTTTTGTTTTCATAAGTGTCTGCCAGATAATCATCTTAGGACATAACACTTGACTGGGCTGTCGTGCTTTGATGAGGCCATCACTGGGACTTTCCGGATACGTCAGACCGAGCTTCCGACTTGTTAACGCTAGTTGCTGCCGAAACGTTCATGTCGTTAGTGGTGGTTAACGTTACGTTGAAACTCCGAGGTAAACGCGGACAGGAGACCATGAACACCTCCAGAACCCGCCAGCAGCCCCAGGAGGTCTGAACAGAGAGGCGTGGTGGTCAGAGAGCGACAGGGCGGGATGTCAACAACTCGGCCTCTGCTCGGAATGAGACGAGTCACCGAGCTAGCGTACCCTGAACAGCCGGGCACCAGGCTCTCCGCTTCGGCCGGCAGGCAGCAGACAGAGGCCCTCACAGTGGACGAGTTTACGGTCCTTGAGGACAAAGAAGACGAGTTGAAGAGCGCCAGGCCCCGAGTGGAGCAGGTTTTTAAAGTGACGTTCACAATTATCGGTCTGTTGGACCATACAGGACAGCCGCACGGCAGCAAAACAACCCGGCAGATATGGCTTCAGCTCCGGGGGGACAGAGACGACGTGTCCAAGGCGAAGGTGGGTATAACTAAACCTTCTGTTAACAAAAACAAAACAGCACGTCAGGATGTTCAGACAAGTAACACATTAATTGGAGTATGAGGCCATTTTTATTAGAAATAAAGAAACATAAAGTCCAGGTTGACTCCTCCATGAACAGGTGTGCCAGTGACACCAACTTTACTGACCAACAGCTTTTCTCTCTCCTGTTGCGTTTAAAACCTTTGTTTTTAGCTTCTCCCTCAATTTGCTGCCTAGAAGTCTTTTAACACATTTATTGCCATATTGAAATACTATGACACAATCAATTCATGTGTTTCTTTGTAACATATGAATGTTTGTTCCTCTCATTAAATAGGATTTACATGCCATTCATTTAAATAATGGTTAAATCTATATTTTTTTTAGCAGATAAAACTGTTAAAAGGAATAAATCCCCTCCTCTATAAGGGAAGTATCAAAGAAAAACTAAAACAACTGTATATCAGTGGCCTCCACATGAAAGGGCAGAAACTGGGTCCTTCCAGGCCAAACTCTCATTTTGAAAGTGCAAACATGACACATAAAGCTAAAGAAATCACCTGAAAACCTTGAATTTATTGTAATCTGATTAAAACTACAGATTTGATTTAACTCAAACCCAATTAGTACTGGTATAGATAACCTCCCAGATCATATTAATTGGTATTAAGAGATGTTTTAACACATTTGTGTGAAAACAAACATCCATTGACAGTTGCTAGTTTTACATTTGATCGATTTCAATGCTGAGGTGATCCATGATCCTAATTTTACATCAAGAAATAGAATATTTTTAAAAAAAGTGTTTTAAAATCAGTGTTAAAGTGTTAACTATGGACTGATGAGTGTTTTAGAGGCAGAATAAATGTCAGCTAATGGACCTTTAATATTAAGTTCAATCAGAAAAATAATTCAGTATTTGACTGTAGAGTTGTCTTTCTAAAACATGAAAAAAAACTTTCGAAAATTATCCTCACTGTTAAAATCTCAAAATAAGTTGTTTTTTTTTTTAAGGAAACTTGATCTTGCACTGGCAGGTAAAGCATCTTTATTCATATTCAGTTAAATGTGAGCGTTTAACCCTGGCTACATTTTTATCAGGAATGTTTGGCATTTAAGGTATCGTTTTTTCTGAAACTGCAAATTGCCTGGTAAACTACTAGCAGTGTTTATTGCAACACAGCCTGAAACTTTAACACACAAAGAAAACTGACATAAAAAAGGCTCAGAGCCACAGCATGAAACCTGGTTCCACTAAGGTCCCTAATTTAAGTCCTAATTTGGTGACAGTAATATTACTGTGAATATTATGAAGTTGTATTTTCCTCTATGTGGTTTTTCAAGCAATGTGTCTTTGGCAGGGATTGGTAAATCAATTAAAATTACTTTCAAAATAAAAACTTCTTGTTACGATAGCTTAGTTTTTCCTAACTAATTTTTTGTAGCTTGTGTTTTCTTTAGCAATACTTATAGTTTCCTCTTAATCATTAATTTCTTTCAACTAAGATTGTTTTATAGAAGTAAACAAAGTGAAGCGAGACACATTTTAAACTCCACTTAAGCAAATTGCTGCTGTTTCTAGCATAGAAAGCAGGGGTGGAAATGAAAGAAGTAGACCACTAGGTCATTGTTTCTAAAGTGATAATGTGATACTGCAGTCCACACATATGGACAAAAACACTTTGTAAAAAAAGAAACTTACAAAAAAAAACATGAATCTGTTTTGTTTTTGTTTTTTATCTATCGTAGACAAGGTTGGAACATGTAATTATTAATAATTGATTCCAAAAACATAACTTCACAAACATTTTAGCCCTTGGGTAATCTACATTTTTCATTCCTTAACAGGTTGATGAGCTAAATATGAACTGTAATTACAATAAATACATTTCTAGTTTCAAGCTTGATCAATCAAAATTTGAATTATTTTTTACGCTAAAAGTTTGTTTAATGAATTAATCGTCAGTAGATTATTTAAAGATTTTTTTTTCGAGAGAAGGATCCGTCTCATATGGACATTTCTTCTAAAAATTATGTATTTTGAGTTTCTGTAAACATTTAGAGTTAGTGGGATGTTATTTAGTGGGCTTCAGTTTGCGTACAGACAAAAGCTCAACTTATGATGTAGCGAGTTATAGTGTTTTTAATTAACCTGCATTCAAGTCGACAAGTTATGGACAACGTATTATATTATAACCCCTGAGCCTCCTGAGGGAGACGGTATGTGTGATTTAAAAAGAAAAAAAGAAATCTTGTTTTATAACTCTTGCAATGAATAACAAGTTATTAGAAACTAAGAGTTTTACTGTGACGTTTTCCCTTATAAAACCTTTTTCTGTTTAGCAACATCAACATGTCCCGGGGTGCTCTTATTGAAGGTGGGGATAATGAGAGCTAATGCAAAGTTGGTATTATTGTTGAACAGTAGATTTTTTTTTCCATCAATGCTTTTCTACACATTTAAAAGTATAGCTTCAGAAGAGCTTGATTAAAAACATCAAAACTTATATCAACTTGCTAAATTTGATGTGGTCTTTGACTTGTTGAAAAGAGTAAATGTGAGTAAAATGAGATGGAAACACATTTGTTGAAGTTTTGACGCAGCAAATATTTACAGTGAGGAAAATAAGTATTTTAACATCCTGCTATTTTTCAAGTTATCCCACTTATCATCAGAGGTGCATGTCCACTATAAGAGACATAATCTAAAAAAAAAAACGTATTTTTAAAAAATCATTTAATTATTTCTTTGTATGATACAGCTGCAAATAAGTGTTTAAACAGCTGAGAAAATCTATGGTAATATTTAGTAGAGTAGCCTTTGTTTGCAATTACAGAAGTCAAACATTTCCTGTAGTTTTTCACCAGGTTTGCACACTGCAGGAGGAATTTTGGCCCACTCCTCCACACAGATCTTCTCTAGATCAGTCAGGCTTCTGGGCTATTGCTGAGAACAACAGAGTTTCAGCTCCTTTCAAAGTTTTCTATTGGGTTTAGGTCTGGAGACTGGCTAGGCCACACCAGAAACTTGATATTCTTTTTCCAGAGCCACTCCTTGGTTATCCTGGCTGTGCTTCGGGTCATTGTCATGCTGGAAGACCCAGCCTCGACCCATCTTCAATGCTCTGAGGGAATGAGGTTGTTACCCAAAATCTAGCAATACATGGCTGCGGTCATCCTCTCCTTAATACAGTGGAGTCCCCCTGTCCCATGTCCAGAAAAACACCCCCAAAGCATGATGCTACCACCCCCATGCTTCACAGTAGTGATGGTGTTATTGGGATGGTACTCATCATTCTTCTTCCTCCAAACACAGTGGAATTATGACCAAAAAGTTATTTTTCGGTCTCATCTGAACACTTGACTTTCTCCCATGACTCCTCTGGATCATCCAAATGGTCATTGGAAAACTAAAGACGGACCTTGACATGTGCTGGTCTAAGCAGGGGAACCTTCCATGCCATGCATGATTTAAAACCATGACGTCTTAGTGTATTACCAACAGTAACCTTGGAAACGGTGGTCCCAATAGGTGAGATCTTGCATGGAGCCCTAGTCTAAGGGAGATTGACAGTTATGTTTAGCTTCTTTCAGTTTTTAATGATTGCTCCAACAGTGGAGCATTTCTCACCAAGCTGCTTGGAAATTTCCCCGTAGCCCTTTCCAGTCAAATTTTTCACTAGTGTCTTTGGAAAGCTGTTTGGTCTTTGACATATTAGTAGCTGGATTCTTACTGATTGTATGGGGTGAACAGGTGTTTTTATGCAGCTAATCACCTCAGACAGGTGCATCTAGATTAGGATAATTGGACTTGGACCTTTTGAAGGAAGTCTAACAGGTCTTTGGGGGTCAGAATTCTATCTGATAGACAGGTGCTTGAGTACTTATTTGCAGCTGTATCATACAAATAAATATTCTCTCACAGTGTACATGCACCTATGATAACAATTTCAGACCCCTCCATGATTTCTAAGTTGAAGAACATGCAAAATAGCAGGGTGTTTAAATACTTATTTTCCTCACTGTACCTCATATGACTGATTAACTGTTAGAAAACATTTCTTTCTCCCTCAGAAAATAACCCAACTTACCTTAAGTAATGGAAACCACCTAAGATGATGCTTTTGAGTCCTCAGCCAGTGCGCTGACCAGCATAAATGTATTCTCAGATTACTGTTTTCGCTGTATCTGAAAATAAAAGATTATCAGATTAATTCCAAAGCAGTCAGATAGGAGGATGATTAACCAGGTTAACACACATGCTGATAAATTGCAGCGTAAAGTCATGTGTAATTGTGAGAGAACATGTGTTCAGTGTTTTTACTGACCTGCCTGCACATGATGGTGCTTGAATCGGCTGGTTTAGATTGACCAGCTTCACAGGGGAGCACTGGAAGGAAGCGTGTGTCACCTTTGCCGGTTCAACTTCGCACTACTGCACTTTGTGTATACAGTGTGTGGAGCTGATTGACAGATCTAATATTTATGGTGATCCCTGAGCCATCCCACACCGGCCAAATGGAAGAACTCATTCAGGAGATATATATAACACAAATTATAATGTAATATACACTACACTTCATTACACATTACAGTTTTAAGCTAGAAGCTAATTAAATAAAATATAACTATAAGTTCGCCATCTCATAAATTTGCTTTTATGAATGGAATGCAATCACAAACATTCATAAAACTATATCGAGCAGCCTCACTGCCTGTATTTTATTTTATTTTTTTGTGGTTTCTTCCTGACATGTTTTAGACATTTGTTCGCTGATATTTAGTACGAGGCTCCCGCAGAGCTTTTTCAGTGAATGATTTCTGCACCTTATGTGCACTATGTAGCGCATGTCGCAGATCCTGTCTTCCAGCATTTTCTACTTGTTTAAAAGCAGAATTTTGAAATGCTTTTTTTGTTTTGTTTTTAACGCTCTAAACGGCTGATGTCTGAGCTGCTATATTCAAACACTCCCGTTCCCTCTGGTTAGCTGGCCAGTAGTCTCTGAGGGTGGCAAAAATGAAGCGTAAGATGAGAGGGGAGTGTGCTTTTTCTGTAACGGCTCCCAAACTGTTGAATGATCGTCCCTTGGGCATTAGGAGAGGCCTTTTCACTCCGATTTTAAATTATCTCTTTATTTTCCTTGGCCTTTGACACAATCTGAGACGTTGACTTTGTCTTACTGTGTTTTATTCTATTATTCTATGTCTTTTTGTTTGTTTTTTAAATTGATTAATTTGTACTTAGTATTGTGTGTAGCGCTTTGGTCCTGAGGGTGTTTAAAGTAATTTATGAATAAAGGTGGTTGGTCCATTACAGCTTTTTATTCAGAAATATTATGTACCGGTAGACTTTTTTTTAATACTTTCTAATCATCCTACATTTCGTTTGATCTGAGGTTGCTAGTTTGATAAGTGAACGGTAATTTTTAATCTGATGTTAATTTTTCTCTTGTACAACAGAATTTCCCCACTATTCTGTTCTATTGTTGTATAGATCTGAAGGACATTTTGTTGCTGTTGAAAAGCTGCATGGTTTGTTCAGTTATTTTGCAGATTTTACACAGTGGCAAAAACATTTTTTTTTATGAGAGGAAGTTTTGGTGTGAACCAAGTGAAGTAATGTTCAATTTGTCTGTTTTTCCACAATGTTAAATGCTAAGTGAACGTTTCTGACCGTCAAGGCTGCAGTTTCAGACTGCATTTAAACCAGGGGATCTCCATCTAGGAAGTAGACTTTCTGTTTTTAAATTTTTTTTTATACGGCACTTATATGAACACACCCAATGAAATCATCTGATGAAAGAGGTCCAGAATTATTTGAAAGTTGTCCTCAACCCTACCAGACTTAGTATCTGATCCTTCTCAGATCTGGACTTGTGGGGCACTGCGGTAGCAGGACCTTCTGTTTATGAGTCATTTCAATCATTTAAGTGTCAACTCAGAGCAGATTTTAAAGTCATGTGAGCTTCGTCTGCATTCAGAGATGATGTTGGATTACTCAAGAAAAAATCATTTCAATCAACAGTTAACCAGTCAGTTTGTGTGTGTGTTTTTTTTTTCTTCTACGTTATTTCCCACTAAAGAGCCTCTTTCTCATTTCTGCATCCTCTTTCATGAGTCTCGGTCGTGTGTTGCCAGCTGCTCTGAGCTCTACTAGTCAAGCAAGACTAAAAAATAACATTAACAACCTGTCGCTTTAGGGGCACATAGTAGTTTTTAGCTCACTGCTAACAGTTTTCATTACCGCTTGAAAGTTAGAAAGTTAGGAGTTAGTGTTTCTAGGTCTGAGAAGGTGAGAGGGAAAGAGAATAATTATATTTTTCAATATTCTACATTTCCTGACATTTTAAAACTATGAAACTGAAGTCCTTTTTAAGATCGGTGTCCTGGTTTACATGTATTGTCATGAATATGTTGCATCCTGATTCATCAAAGCTTTCAATATGATCACGATTATATTTAAAGTTTTTAGACTTTGGAAAAGGGTTATTTTTATATAAAATACAGACTGAGTTTAATCTGTTAGCCAAGTGTGTTTTAAACATTATTATTTTTAGAAATGGTGGCATTAATGGCATTAATGACTACTAATGCCACCATTTAGAAATGGTGGCATTAGTAGTCTGTACCAGGTCACGCTGGTTGGTTCCTTTCTCTTAGCTGTCCTTCGGAGAGATACAGTTTAGACTCTGGATATGTTCTCAGTCCTTCACAACACAAAAATCCATCCAAACACTGATACCTGAGGCCTTGAAGGTATTTTTGTAGAGTGGGAGGAAGCTAGAAAATGCAAACTCTAAGCAGAAAGAGCAAAGGCTGTGATTCAAACCCTGCAAGGCAAGTTATACCTTCGGTGTCAGAGTGCAGCAGCAGTAGTGATACCTGCATTTAAGGTTGTTTTTGTAAGCAGAAAAATCATTTAGTTTGGTTTAATTAGCCTTAGACCTATGTTTTGGGTTGGGTTTTTTAAGGCTCAGTGCACAATGAGTACCACCTTAGTCTATTGAGAAACCCAAAGAGGCTGAATGCAAGGAACACCTACCTAAGATGATCATCATGGAGATCTGCATGCAAGACTTGGTGCTTAAGTGGCATTAAAACATTTAGTTTTTAAGATTGTAGTTATCATAAGTGATATTCTTCTTTTTAAATATTTTTTATGTTAATTTCATACTTTCTTTTATTATGACTGGTCTAAATATTGCTTTATTTAGATCCATATCTGAAACTCTGCCTGCCTTCATTGACCACTGTACTCAATACAATTTCACAGAGACAGAACTCTGTAAGATTACACACAACAACCTGAACAGAGTTGTTGAACTGAGTCTAAGGTTTGGTTCACACTGCAGGCCTGCAGGCACAAATATTTTCAAGAGGGTTAAACATAAATACTGCTCTCCCCATCATCATCTGCCATGGTTGTTGTTTTTCTTGCCGCTTCTTCATAGCAAGACCCAAAATAGTGGCCTCTGTTGGTTATTAATGGCGTTCAGTTCAGATGACTGCGACCTGGCGGTTCAGACACAGGTTGCATTAAAAGATCAGATTCGTATCGGATTCAGGACCACATAGCCAATTGGCCTGGGTCGGATTGGAAAAAATCGGATCTGTGTTGTTCAGACAGCCATGAAAAGATCATATACAGGTCGCATATGGGCCAAAATATCGGATTTGCGTCACTTCAGACTGCTTTGTGAATGTAGCCTAAGTGTATTAAAAATAGAAAACAAATTTTTTCTTTATAGAAATCTAACTTTATATTATGAAATGTATACAGATTGTTTTACTACCTTACAATGACTTTTTATTTTTTTTATAAACCTGATGTTTGACTTTTTTCTTCAGCTTTCTATAAAAAAATATTTCATATTACTATCCTTTTTTCACTTTTAAGATTTCCAGCTGATAACTACATGTCCTTCTTTTTGGTTTTTAAAATAAATCTGAGCTTTTCTGTCTGGGTTATTTTTTTAGTCACGTTACACATGCTGAGTGTTTGACTGATAATATGACATGCCCAGTTAACATTAGTCAGAGAGCTGCTTACCCGTCCCACAGCTGATTCATTTTACAATCTGCCTCTGCCAGGTCTGTCCCTGAATCATTGTGAATCGTTCGGTTTCACCTTTACGTGTCAGTTTAAGAGCCAGGCGTTAATATCTGCATATGCACGCTAACCTCAGCTTTCTAGTTCTTCTACTCTCTCTATCTTTTTGGATCTATGTAATTTTATTTTTCTCTACTTCTCCATTTCTTCATTCTTTTTCTGTAGGAGTATGTCCGAGGGCTCTGCGACCCAGAGCTGCAGAAAGAAGAGCGCTATCCTACTGACATGCACTGCATCTTCGCCGGGGCCAGGGGCCTCTTTCTGGACAGACTCATACGTGACACCAGCGCCGAGGTTCTGGTGCCAGAGCCGGGTCGTCTGTGGCTGGTGGGCCGAGCTGAGCCTGTTGTGATGGCTCAGAGTAGAGTCCAGCAGTTTGTGGCACTCTTCCAAGTAAGGCTGGTGTCTTGATGGTTACTAAAGATTAAATCAAAGTTTACTTGTCACATACATAGTCACACATGATTTAACCTGCAGTAATACATTAAGTATAGGTTTAGACTTAGTTGTTAGGTTTAACCCATTGAGAATCTAAACAGCTTTATTATAAAACATTTCTCATATTTTCTCCAATTTAGTTCTAGCCCTTTATAGCGCACTCATTGAAATAAATCAAGTTTTAATTATTATTTTGAAGGTAAAAATCAAGGTCAATGTAATAACAAGTAATAATAGTCACTTTTCCTAATATGTAAAAAAAAAAAACCATAAGTTCTTCTATGAGAAATTCGCTAAAAAAGTCACAGTAAAAGAAACATTTTTTTGTAGAAATGTAACAGAACATTAATGCTGATAAAGGCACTTACATTTTTAACTTTTTGACTTAGTGTATTAACTTTGTAACGTTTTAACTTTTCAGTTATTCTTACTTAACTTTTTTCCTTTTTAACTTCTTTTAACATGTACAGCCATGTAGTATTATCTTTGATTAATGCTGGATATAAATATTGTGCAGATGTGTGCATGTGATCAAAAACTTTAACATTAAACATTTAAAGCAGTGGTTTGAAACTCAAATCTTCAAAGGCCAGTGTCCTAAAACTTTTAGTTGCGTCCCTTGCCCTACGCACCTGAATGAAAGGGCTAATCAGCCTAACTAGCATGCAGTCAAGCCCTGCTAATGAGCTCCTGTTGAAATGAGGTTTATTGAAACAGAGAAGCCTCCTCAAGTTGCAGGACACCGGCCCTGCTTTAAAGAAAGTTCAGCCCTACCTTTCCCCTGCCTACATTCCCCAGAATGCCGTGCGTTTCTGGATCAGTGTTCACTGAAATTATTGGCTATGCAATCGTTTATCAAGATCTATATTGATATTGATTTATTGCTCAGTCCTAACTTTAAACCACTGTGGCTATGAACATTATCAGCAATTATCACATGTTTTATTGTCATTTCCTAAAGTAAAACTTAGCTTTTTCTGTCTGAACCTGGTTTTGTTTTATGTGCAGGAGAAAAAGAGTCTGCCAAGTGACAGAGAATCGGCAGTGAAGCGAGCGTTCAAGTCGTTTGTGGAAGAAAGAGATGATAAATACACTATGGAGCTCCTGCTGCTGCCCAGTGCCCTGAAGGAAGAGTTACTGGGACTGGTTCACAGCCCCACCAGCACAAACACATCTGCTTTGGTTTGTCTTTTCTACATAGTTTATGGAATTTAATCACAATACTGAGAAGATTCTCATACCTTTTAGATCATAGCTTCAAAAATGCATGTCTATACCTACAGGGGCATATGAATAAATAAGAAGATTGATAAAAAATTTACATTATTTCCACAGTTCAGTTCAAAGTATAACCAGTTTATTGTACAGGGTTGTGTAAATTGCTTATAAGTTTTCAAATTGTAGCTCAAATTATTCATTTAGAGTTGATTAAAAAGTTAACTTATAAGTTTGGGTGTTTCTCATCTGTCACAGTTTTTTTAGCAAATCTGGTGTATATTATCTCAATAAGTCTTTTGAAACTTAAAGGAAATTATTTTTTATTTTATTTTTTTTTACCCAGCATCATGATGATATCCATTTCCACACTCAGGTGAACCAGGTGCTGCTACCCACCATGGCAGAGGTGGATCAGGACCGCTCCCAGAGCAGCACTCCGGTGACGGAACTCTCCAACCGCATCCTGGACACCAGCTTCGATGAGAAAGGTGGTGCAGCGTCTTCAGTCTGTGGAGGCGGGAAAGCAGGGGGCCGGATAGTGGTGGGTCAAGAGGGGGTCCTGCTCAACGGCACTCGGCCCTCACACAAGCGGCGCTCGTCCGAGAGTGAGACTCGAGACACAAAGAGACAATACTCACTGGAGCGGAAGGAGGAGTCGCCTGAGAGAATGGCGAGGGAGCGTACCCGGGACAGGGAGGTTCGAGGGGCCGGCAGCAGCTGCAGGTCCAAAACCCCATCTGCTTCCTCAACGATCGCAACGCCCTCCTCCTCCTACTCAGGAAAGGCAAACACAGTGGCCGGTCCAATCACACAGGAGTCCTACGAGGGCATCCCAGACGATGGAGAGGCAGTCAGCCCGGAAACCAACCTCCGCTGCCTGGTCAATTTTTTCAGGTAAATTCTCATAATAATGCAATGCATTTTGACATTTTTAATGTATCAATTAAGCCTCATTTCCTCCATTATTTATTAAGACAAACTATTTTTAAAGGTATCTGACCCAGCTAATATTGAAGGAGTCTTTGAAAAACTTAAGCCCATTACTATTTGACATAAACTTCTAATTACATTGTGGGATCCCCTTTTCTTTTCAGAACCATGGGCTACCAGCAGGAAGTGGTGGAACGTGTTGTCAAGTCAACAGGACAGACTGAGGACACCTTTCTTATCCTGGAGAAAATAGTTGAAGAAACCAAACGTTGTGAGCAGGACTCAAAAGGAGGAGACAGAGAGAGACAAATGAACGCTGTGCATGCGTCTGACAATCTCTCCTCCTCCTCTTCTTCTTCTTCCTCCTCCTCCTCTGCGGTGTCCTCGTCCACAGTGTCCCGTTTTAGGGAAAAGGAGCGAGAGATCGGAGACACAGGGAGATCGAAGGAGAACATAAAGCCGAGCCAACGAGGAGGAAGTAGCAATGGTTTGGGACATAGGCGGAAGTGCAGTGGCAGTGAAACGAGCACACAGCAGGTACACCACACCTCACGTCTAACTGTATTATTTTTTGATCCCTGATGCATTTCCAAGCTTAGGAGAAGGTAGGATGACCAAAAACAAAAGATAGATTTTGTTTATTGTGAATAAAAAAATGTTTCTTTATGCATATGCAGAGTCAATAAAATAACAGTTAAAATCTTGATGCAAACCAAATATTTTGGAAATAAACTGTATGGACGTTATTAGGTTGGCGCTACAGAGGACTGTTTGAAAAAAGCAGTTGCCACAGAGACACTATCTGCTCTCAATCTGTCTCTGATGAGCACAATAATCCCCTTACTGTAGTGCGGAAACATATTAGCATGCTATCAATTTCATGGTCTGTTTTCTTCACATATTAAAAAACACAACTTAAAAAATACTGCTTTTTATATATATTTTTTCTCCTATCTCTATTCTGTCAGCGCTAAAACCATAAGTACCGGTCATAGTCATTCCAAAAAAGTAAAAAAAAAAAAAAAAAAAACAAGTTTGAAGACTTTTTCGCTTGCCATCCAGGAAGCTTTCTCTCAACCCCCATCGTTATAGAGGGGACCAAAACATCTCGGCTGGTCAGCCAGGCCAACAATGCGGTCTTTACCTCAAATATATTAATCTCACTCAGGATTATTTAAGATGGAGAGAAATGAAAAGTTGATCTAAATTGGCTAACCACAAACCTCCTTCAGAGATCATTGATTATATCTGATTGTCTAAGAAACATTCGTCCTCCGCTCTGTATCATGTCATTTTCTTTAAATTCTGTAAAACTAACGTTAAACCCTTGTTTAAGGCCATCACGATCAAAAGAAGCTCCAGTGCTCAGGGTGGAGCAGGGAACTATGAGGTAATTACGATCGACGATGACGACGACGTCATTCCCACTAATGCCAAAACAGCAGACGGTAGAAAGTCTCGGATAATGACGATGCCACACCCTGACACCACACAGTCTGGATCTCGAACGGACTACCTGGCTCGAGGAGGGGGCGGAGTCACCCAGCGGGATTACCTGTCGCGATGCGGGACTCAAACTTTGGGTGGATCTGTAAAAGTGGAGAACATGACACCGCTGCGCAGCACCCCTGCATGGGTGAGTAACGCCTCTGCCTCTCTTCTGTTTTTGTTTGATCCTGACTTGGTTTTTAAATTGAGAGGAAAACAACCTCTAAGCACTATTTTTCAACACAACCTGAATATCTGAGGCCATTTTAACCCAATAAACTTCAAGTAATCGTAACTAATCTGTCAAATATAGGCTCTTTGTCTCCTTATAAAGAGGAATCAGAGGTTTTGTTATCAAGAGGCTGGACCTGTTAATAACAGCAATATTCAGTTCTGGGATTTAGACTCAAACACTTTTCGTCATATATTCACAGTGAATCGGCCATTGATTAATCCTGCAGTTTTAATAAATTAATTCAAAGCTGTTTTAAATTAAAAAATGCAAAGCAAAATAAACAAATCTGCCTCATCCTATACAAATATCAAGCATAGTGGTGATTAAGGCTTTTGTTATACTTTGTGTCATTGATTTTACCATAACTCTTACTAAAGCACAATGTCAGCAGACGCCTGTTTTAAGATTGGGTCGTCGACGGGTCATTAATCCCAAAAACAGCAGCAGATCTACAACAGAATGGCTGCAAAAGAAAACAACGGAGGTGTTATAATGTCCTAGTCAAAGTCCAGAACTCAACTTATCTTAGTTTGCTGGACAGAATAAAATATATTTTTTTCTTAAAAATCTTAATTGATATTCAAACCGTGTAATCGGTGATTTAACATTTGATCAGTCTGAGACAAAAACTTAATCCCTACCAAATAATTTGAATAATGTCCTTATTAATGCATCATCACCATTCTGTTTATTCTAATATTTTTTATATATAACATGAATATCTTTTTTTTTTTTTTTTTTTTCCCCAGTTGGCTGGTTATTATCTCATCTTTGGCCCTTGTTAGATGTGTTTGCTGCAGGCAGAAAATCTAAATAATGGGTTAAATAATGGTTATAAATTGGTATTTATTGAAGTTGTTTAAATATATGAGGAATTTATGATGTTAAACCTCTAAAGGACAAACTTCTAAATTAGCTTGATGGTCAAAATCGTAAACTAGGACCAAAGTCTCTGGAATCATACATTGGTTTCATGTATTAAAAACAAGGACCAGCAAAACTATTGCTATTTTTGTCTTTTTAAATCCCGTAGTTCAATTTTTCTGTTTTGTGGCGTAATTTTCTACACATGGACTCAGGTTCCACTTTACAAATCTCAAAATGAGCTGCTGTCTTTTGCACACAGGGAGCATTTGTACACGTTTGGTTCTGGATTACAGCAAACATCATAGCATTATGTCTCTGCTTTCTCTGACCTCCTCAGTCAGCTCAGCCAATCAACCGAACAGCACCCTCTGCCTATCAGACCATCGCCCATACAGGATTTCAGGGGGGCATGGCCCGGACCCCTCCTGCAAACGAACCCCCGGCCCCTCCGGTTACTGGTCTGGCTCGGTTTCACCAGTCGCTGCGGACTCCTTTTACCTTGAACCTGCCCAACGAGCGGGGAAACCCAGACCTGAGGCACATCATCATAGACGGAAGCAACGTGGCGATGGCGTGAGTCTGCACACAGCATCAGCTGGAAGCACAAAAATCCAAACATATTATTTTTCAGTTTTTGGTCCATACTGGAATCAGTTGTGTTTTTATTCATGAAGTTCTGAGTATATTGGTTAATTTTGGACCAGTTCAATTCTTGGTTGCTTTCAGTCTTTTCACAAAGTTTAAACAAACTGCTTATATTGACTTATGTGCTGATTAGGAAGGAAAAAGGCCAACAGAAACACAGGTCCTTCAGGGCTGAAACAATTAATCAGATTAATCGTGATTAATTGATTATTGAAACAATCGTCAACTAATTTAGTAATCGATTAATCCTTAACTGAAGTATAAATCCTGTAAAGCATGCCTTTAGCTGACAGAGCAACCAACCCTTGAGCACCAAAACTGGGAAAATAAAAATGTAAACATTTTGCATTTAAGTTAGAAAAAATCTTTTTCTTCTGTCAATATCCCCTACCCAGAACTCCTCAAGGGGAAACATTTCAGTTTCACCTGTTTAATTTCATAAAAAGTCTTCTTTAAGGAACCTTTTGCCATCTGATTATTAAGCGATTAATAGGGATGGGGATAGAAACCCGGTTCTATCAAGGACCCGGTTCCACTTTTTTCAAAACCCGAAAATCAATAAGGTTTGGGCTTATCGATACCACTATCGAGTCTGGTTGTTTCTTTTTTTTCTCCCGGAGATCCTGTAACATAATTGTGTGTCCCTCGAGTCGCGTCACAGCATTTAAATCCGATCAATCCAATCACTGCAGCATGTCCAGCAATGTTTTGGAATGAAGTTGTAAGCAAACAGATATTAAAAGTAAAACAAGAGAAGTCTGGCACTTAACTTCGCTCGTGACTCGAAGATGACTGAACGGACGAAAAGGTCTAAAGTTTGGCTTCATTTTACCAAGCTCAAAGATAAAGATAAGATAGCGAAATGCAAATGCTTATGTTGCAAAATCATCTCTTGTAAAGGGGGGAAACAACCTCAATGGCCAAGCACATTAGTATTGTGCACCAAATAAAGGCCAAATGCAATACCTTCGACTGTCTCCGGGTTGAAAAGACTCCTCCTCCTCCTCCTGCCGCCGCACCACAGTCGGGCCCGTCTCCATCATCCGCTCAGAGTACCACTGGTAAGCGCACACAGACTTTGTAGCTTGTCCTGTCAGTTAAATATAGTAATTGTGAAATCCGTCTTGTAATCGGAAGCATACAAGCTAGTTAGCTTGAAAAGTAAATAAAGTTTCAGACGTGCTGCGTGATGATGTGTTCAGATTGGCTCAGTAAAACGACAATTAGGTTATCATGATGCGTTCAAGTGTAACGTAAAGAAAACGGGAAATTTAGTTTTTGGCGAGAAACATGAGCAATACAGTTGTTTATTGCTCTAATTATTTTAGAATATATAATTAAACTACTGATGCCAACATTTATTAAAAATTACATTTAATTTAAAATACAATTACTTATTTGCTAAATATTTTCCTAATCACTAAAAAAATTATGAAAAGTGACAGTAGACAATACATTAACCAATAATTGTGAAAATTGATATATTTTTTTAAACCAAAAGAAGACATTTCTTCAAAAAAAAATTTTCCCCACTTCCTTTCTGTCTGTTAAAAACATGTTGTCGCATCGTCTTTCCACCAAATAACAGAAAAGTATCGATAGTGGTATCAATAAAGACTCGGATCGATAAGGAGTATCGATAAAGGTATCGATATCAATAAATATTAACGATCCCCATCCCTAGCGATTAATCTAAAAAATAATGGAAAGGTTAATTGATTTGCAAAATAATCGTTAGTTGCAGCTCTAGCTCACTTTGATCTGATCCAGTGGGTTAGCTGGTTATGTTTGTTCTGGTAGGATATCATTTTTTATAAAACCAGTTTACATAAAGATCTTATTTAATGATTGCCATTAGGGCTGCAACAACGAATCGATAAAATCGATAAAAATCGACTTTTAAAAGCGTTGGCAACGAATTTAATCATCGATTAGTTGTGTCGCGCGATTAATGCGTCATCCGCCGCCGCCGTCATCCGGGGGAAGAAAAAAAAATATGGCGGAGCGAGTCAGCGCCGCAGTTGCAGTGTTGCCAACTCAGCGACTTTTCAGACCCCTCCAGCGACTATTTTTCAAAAAAGCGACTGGCGACAAATCTGGCGACTTTTTACGGTGTCACTGGCGGCTTTTGCCTGCCGTGGGGCGCCTCCCCCATCCCAACCCCTTTCTCCCTCTCCCACAGGAATCCCTCTCAGCGCGGCAGTCAGAGTCAGAGCCGCAGGATTTTAGTGAGGAGTTTACCCTCAGCGTCCAGACTGCAAATGAAGCGCGCATGCGCCGGGATTGACGGCGCAAATTGATCACAATAATTAAAATAGCCTGCGCTTTGTAAAGTGAAAAAAGTCGTAACATGCAACTTTTGTAAAAACAAATGACCATGGCACGGAAGCACCACTGTTATGACGCAGCACCTGAAAAGAAAACACGTTGGAGCCTTCAATGGCAGTGAAGAGAGCTGATCAGCAGGATGAGTAACCATGTTTGTTTCATTTTAAAGAGGGGAAACGTAACGTTAGTTTCTCAGGTAGCTCATCTGATGCTTTCCTTACCGTGTTAGTAGGTTACAGACAGTGATAAGGTTGGCTACTTATTTTACTTTTAATTTCATTTAAATTTGTTTAAGCAGCGTTTATATTTTCTTTATAAATAAATTAACTTGCAAATTATGAGGGCAAGGCTTTTAAAGTTTAAATCTTCTGGCAAAGATAAAGAAAAGAAGATCCTGCAATTTATGGAAGTAAAGCAGAACAAAATCCAGCAAGATCAGTAATATGTCAATTAATTATCTGCCACATTCCCATGTAAATATCAATGCAACGTTCATAAGTTACATACAGCTTATGAACGTTGCATTGATATTTGAAATATCAATGCAACGTTCATAAGCTGTATGTAACGCAATTTAGTTCTGTATGCACCCTGTGCATACAAAATGACAAATAAAGAAGTCTAAGTCTAAGTCTAAATATCTGTCTTTGGAGGATGTGTTTTTTTACCACCCCTAGTTCTCTCATTTTTATTCCAAATACAATTTATAATTAGAATCACAGGGCTATTTTTATCTCTATGGTTCAGTATTTTCTCAAGTAGCAACTTTAACTGCTATACTTTCCTGTCTTAAAAGGCAGAACTCTTCTAGTCTAAAAAAAGTCATTTGTTGAAATGGGGGGACCTATTGTTTGAACCCCTTAGGGGCTTTAAAAAACAAAAATGCCTGTCTCTTTTTGCGCTTTATGAAACAAAGTAGCCTATATTTTGTGGATGTACAGCTACATTTCTCATGTAAGTTTGCGTAGTTTTTACACAAACATTTATTTTTTCATATTGCACCAGTACAGTTAATGAGCAACCTGTACTTGTGTGCTTGTTTGTTCTGTCTAAAATGTTTATTTTGGAATAAAGAGGTTAATATAAAAATTTTTTTTTGTCCGATTCATCGATTAATCGAAAAAATAATCGGCCGATTCATCGATTTTTTAAAATAATCGTTAGTTGCAGCCCTAATTGCCATGGAGACTTGTTGAATCCAGTATGCAAAGTTTTTTTTTGTCTGTATTTGCATGTCTTTCGCTAAAGCTTAGTGTGTGATGACATTTATAACTGCTTGACGATCTTCCTTGCTATGCTTGATTGATTTTAAACCGGATCCCTGTCCTTTCTTGTTCATCGCTGTTGTAAATCTTTTCATTGATTTTGGACTTGCATTAAGCTGTGCTAGCCATTGTCCCAAACATGTGAACAGTAGTACACATCTGCTGTACTTGAATTAAATGTTTCTTGCCTTTGTCATTCCTAAGAGTAGCCAAGAGAAAGGAGGATTCTTTGCCATGTCTTATTTATACACCAGCGGATAGGGCTGGGTATTTTCGCCAAAGTCCTGAATCTATTCGATTTTGATTCATACAGTTTTAAATCGATTAATTTGGATTCGATCTGTTTTTACAATAATGAAGGTGGTTCAACTGTGTTTCTAAATGCTCATGTATTTTGTTTTTTTCCTGTCACACTAAACACAAAATGCAAACTTGTAAATCAGACAGTTTAAACATGAGATGTGAACAAAACTTTTTCAAAAGTGCAAACTTGTTTGTGAAAAGTGAAGCCTCACTCGAGCAAGCAGACATGACACAGCAGACATTCATGAGCTGCATTATCTTCACTGCACAAACCATGTTTGCAGCTTTGTCTGTAACAACTACAGGGTGTTTGCTGGTCAGCCCCCATTTGTCAATGTCTTCAGTCAACCTATTGGGTATATTTTCAGCTGTCTGGCTTGAAGTCATCTTGAGTGCATCTTTCCTGCTTATTTGAATGTGAAAATGAATAGATCTCATTCCCTAGACATCGATTTTGCAAAAATGTAAAGGAATCGATTTTACCCAGCCCTACCAGCGGAGCAGGGCCTTATAGAAATATTGACCAACTTAAAAAGTTAGCAAATGTGAAAACTACTTGAGTTCCATACATTTTGCAGGAGTTGTTTATGGCACAGACATTCAAGGCATCAGGGATTGGTTTCTTTAAGCTGTCTTCCTGATTTTGTTGGTGTAACTATAGAATAAATGAAATGAAAATACTTATTTTGTAAATTTCTTTGAATTCACCCATTTGCCAATTTCTTCAAAGCAGACTACACTGCTTTGAAGAAATTGGCAAATGGGTGTACATTATTTTTTTACTATGCTGACCTGACTTTGAATTTCCTAACTGAGGGATAACAAAATATGTTTTATTTCTGTAATTTTTAACAGCAAAAGTAAGAATGTTTTGAAAGAATCACCATCAGGGTTTTTACACAAAAAAAAACATGTTGATAAGAATCATGCAGTTCTCACTTCGCTCCTTCACCTTTGCGGTGATGAATGTTACTCTGGCCGCAGCGCAGGTGTAAACAGGACTTACTGGCATAATGTAAGCGTTCAGTCATT